CACACCCATACCCATGCGCACGTGTGCATACACACTAATCATAGTAAGATAAAGATGTCTGTGAGTCTTTTCGAGGCAGGCTTGTCATCAGCCATTCTTGGGTCTTTTCCTGGGGTTGGAAGCACTCTGTCTTTTGTTATTTTGTTTCCATTGTTCTTGCTCACTGGGGCTTTCTCTGATGTTTTTTCCTGCCATCTAGGTTTAAATACATAGTTCATTTGTTCTCGGTTATTCTTGTTTTCTGACAGGCGCTCCTCCTTGAACTGCCTTAACCGTTACACATGAATTTTGACATTGAGAGCTTTCCTTGGCATTCAATTTGAAGTAATCAACAATTTCTTGTAAGATGCTCTCTTGAATCCAAGAGCCATTTCATAGTGTGGTTTGGCATCTCAGACATATAAAATAGTTTGTCTACTCTTCAGCTATTTCCCCAGCTCCTGCCTGGTGCTTGGTGGTGATCACGTGGTTACATCTGCATTTTGCTTGCAGATGTGATAGATGATAGATAGATCATTTAGTCAACCATCAATAGAGTTTAATAAACTTATTTCCTGTCTTGTCCTTTCTTATTTCCTGTCTGTCTCTTAGATGTGTCTGTGTCTGTGTGTCTGTGTGCATGTGTGCCACAACTGTGAGTGGGGGCAGGTCAGCTGACAGCTTCTGGGGTGGTTCTCTCCTCCCACCACGTGGGTTCCTGGGACTGAACTCGGGTCCTCAGGCTGGGGTGAAAGAGTTTTACCCACTGAGCCCTCTCACTGGCCACTGGATTCGATTTTTTAATTGCTGAGAAACATTTTGTACAGCCTTTGTAATTGGAGACATTTTCATTTGCCCTTATAATTAATTTGGGGCTGAAAGTTTTTTTCCCAAGCGTTTCTAGATGGCACCTGATGGTCATTTCAACACTTCCTGTATGGTCCTTGTTTGAAGGTAATCTGCTCTTTTTCTATGTAGAAATTTTGCATCTTTGTTTTTGATCCTCATAAGTTTCACCTAATATTAGTGATGAACAAGTTTAATTTGAAACTAAACTCAATACCATTATCTTAGTATCCATCGAAAATGAAATATTTAGGGCATTGAGAATGTAGTTCAGTTGGTAGAGTGCTTGCCTAGCATACTCAGAGCTCTGGGTTGTATCCCAAGCACTGCATAAAAATGAGGCGCACACCTATGATCACAGCACTCAGGAAATAGAGGCTGGAGGCTCAGGAGTTCAAAGCTGTCTTAGGCTATCTAGCAAGATTAAGGCCAGCTTGGACTACATGAAATCTTATCTTAAAAAAAAAAAAAAATACTTAGGGCTCTCTGCTCCTCCCTGTTCCAGAGACAGCCACAGTCCTGAGATATGATGGTGAATGTTGGTGTGAACGGATTTGGCCTGCATTGGATGCCTGGTTACCAGGGCTGCCTTCATGTCTGGCAAAGTGAACATTGTTGCCATCAGTGACCCCTTCATTGACCTAACTACATGGTCTACATGTTTTAGTATGACTTTTCCCATGGCCAGTTCAACGGCACAGTCAAGGCTGAGAATGGGAAGCTGGTCATCAACAGGAAGGCCACCCCCATCTTCCAGGAGCGAGATCCCACCAACATCAAATGGGGTGGTGTTGGTGCTGAGTATGTTGTGGAGTCCACTGGTGTCTTCACCACCATGGAGAAGGCTGGGGCCCACTTGAAGGGTGGGGCCAAAAGGGTCATCATCTCTGCCCCTTCTGCTGATGCTCCCATGTTTGTGATGGCTGTGGACTGTGAGAAGTACGACAACTCACTCAAGATTGTCAGCAATGCTTCCTGTACCACCAATTGCTTAGCCTCCCTGGCCAAGGTCATCCACGACAACTTTGTCATTGTGAAGGACTCATGACCACAGTCCACGCCATCACTGCCACTTAGAAGGGTATGGATGGTCCCTCTGGGAAGCTGTGGCGCGATGGCCGTGGGGCTACCCAGAACACCATCCCTACATCCACTGGTGCTGTCAAGGCTGTGGACAAGGTTATCTGGACCAGAAGCTTATAGGCATAGCCTTCTGTGTTGCTACCCCCAATGCATCCATCTTGGAGCTTTCGTGCCACCTGAAGAAAACTGACAAGTATGATTACATCAAGAAGGAGGTGAAGCAGGCATCTGAGGGCCCACTAAAGGGCATCCTGGGCCACACTGAGGACCAGGTTGTCTCCTGTGACTTTAACAGTGACTCCCACTCTTCCATCTTTGATGCTTGGGCTGGCATTACTCTTGATTACAACTCTGTAAAGCTCACTTCCTGGTATGACAACGAATATGGCTACAGCAATAGGGTGGTGGACCTCATGGCCCACATGGCCTCCAAGGAGTAAGAAGCCTGCCCTGGACCGCTCACCCCAGCAAGGACAGGAGAGCAAGAGAGAGGTCCTCGGCTGCTGAGCAGTCCCTGACCCAACTCAGCCCCGACACTGAGCATCTCCCTCACTTTCCATCCCAGACCCCCAGAATAACAGGAGGTGTTGAGGGAGCCCTACTCTCTTTTATACCATCAATAAAGATCACTGCACCCCCAAAAAATACTTAGATACAAATCTTTCATATGCACATAAGATTCACATGAGGAAACTATAAAACTCTTGTGAAGGAAATCAGGCAAAGAAATGATTGGAGAGCTAGCCCATGTTCATGGATAGGAGGACTTGATATCATCAGGCTGTCGGTTCTTCCTAACTTGGTGAGTGCAGGACCACTGAGAGGACTCAGCAGGTAACGATGCTTGCCACCAAGCCTGACAACCTGAATTTGATCCCCATCACAATCTCAGTCAGAACCCAAGTTTTGTGTATACTGATAAACTGACCCTGACATTTAAGTAAAAAAGGCCAAAGACCCAGAGTAGCCGCACAACACTGAAGGAGAAACGGTTAATGAACTGACATCTGCAGACTCCAAGAAAGCAATCATGGCCGAGTGGTATGGGGGGAGGACAGACAAATGGAATGGAACGGGGATCTCAGAAACAGACTTACCAACGAGTAGTGGAGGAGCCGTCAGGAAGGCGCCGTGGAAATGACCTGGAAAGCATAGTCTTGTCTTCACCTAGTATCTAATACAAACAAAAAATGAAGATACACCCAGACAGGACTTCATGTAACTCAAAATATGCCAGAGTTAAGCGTAAAATACAAAACTATAAAACCCTGAGAAGATAGCACAGGAGAAAATTGAAATTACTTTGGGTTTCAATACAGCACAAAGCAGTAATCCTTGAAAACAAGAGTCAGCAAACTGAAACGCTGTGGTTTGAGTCATCGTGGGCCACAAATGTCATGTGCTAGAATTTTAATCCCCAGGACAACACTGTAGGGAAATGGATGTAATGTGTTTAAGCCATCAGAGTCCTCCCCCACCTCTCTTTCTCTCTCTTCTTTCCCTCCCCACTCCTTCTCTTTCAACATGTGATCATGTGATATCATCCACCTTGTAACAATGCAGCAGAAAGCCCTGATCAGATGTAGCCCCCTAACCTTGGACTTCCTAGCCTCTAGAACCATGAGCCAAATAAATATATGTTCGTTACAAATTACCCACTTTAAAGCTGAATATAGCGGCCCCACCTGATATCCCAGCACTTGCTAGGCTGAAACAGAAGGATTACTGTGAGTTCAAGGCCACCTTGGGCTATGTAGTATTAGACCAACAAGGGCTACATAGCTTCAAAAAGAAAAACAGTAAGTCCAGGGCTGGAGAGAAGATTCAATGGTTAAGAGCATCCATATGGCAGATCACAACTGTCTGTCACTCTGACGACCTCTTCTGGCTTCTGTAGGTACTGCAGGCATGTGGACACATGGATACCTACTCAGACAAAACACTCATACACGTGAAAGAATAAAAAGAGTCTCATAAAATTAGACAAAGATTCCTCAAGAACATAAATCATCAAAATAATATTATTCACCCTACATTATTATGTTATAGAAAGAAAAACAAAGATACTAATCTTTATTAAAATTGAACTAAGACATTAACTTTTATCAAAATTTAAAGCTTTTAGTTGAGCATGGTGGCACATGTCTACAACCCCAGGACTCAGGGAACTGAGGCAGGGGAATTGTAAGTTAAAGATCAGACTGAGCCACATAGCAAGACCTTGCCAAAGAAAGAAGGACAAAGAGAAAAGTTAAGAGAAAAAGAAAACCTTCTGATCATCCAAGGACAATGTCAACGGATGAGATGGTGTGTCACAGAGTAGGAAGAAATATCTGCAAAATATAGATTTTGTAAAGAACTCAAATACACAAAGATCTCTTAAAAATTCGACAATACAAGACAACCTCGATTTTTTTTAAATAGCAAAAGATTTTAACAAATAATTCACCAAAGAAGATACACAGAAAGAAGGTGAATATATTAAGCCAGGCGGTGGTGGTGCACACCTTTAATCCCAGCACCTGGGAGACAGAGGCAGGCAGATCTCTGTGAGTCTGAAGCCAGCCTGGACTACAGAGTGAGTTCCAGGAAAGGCACAAAGTTGCACAGAGAAACCCTGTCTGGGGCGGGGGGAGGGGGGGAGTGAATATACTAAAAGATATGTCAAATTGTATGTCATGAGAGAATCACTAAGTAAAAGGAGACATCATTAGATACCTACTTATGAGAATGGTCAAAATCCAGACGCCACCATCACCAAAAGCTGATGAGATGAGGGTGTGGAGCGGCAGGAACCTTCTTTTATCTCTGTTTGTGATCTCTTTATTTATCTGGTTGTTTGTTTATCATTCTCACACGTCTTGCAACAGAAAATCTTGTTCATTGCTCACGTGACTGTAAGATGATCCAACCACCTTCAACACGGTTTGACGGTTTCTCATGAAACTAAATGTGAACCTCAACAATCCCACTCCTCGGTATATTCCCATGTGTTAACTTCACGCCCAAACCCTATGTGGATGTTTCTGTGATGGTTAACACGGACTGTCAACTGGATGGGGTCTAGAATGACCTAGCGAATAAGCCTCTGTGAATACCTGTCGGGGTCATCGTAATGGATTAACCGAGACAGGAAACCCTATCTTAAATGTGTATGGTGCTGTTCCATGCACTCGGGTCCCAGACTGAATAGAAAGAAGGAAGCGAGCTGAGCCCCAGAACACACCTCTCTTTCTGACTGGCTGTCTCACCCTCCTGCACTCTGACCTCCCTGCCACGAACTGTGCGCCAAAATAGACCCTCCCTTCCTTACGTTTCCTTGACGGGGTATTTCGTCACAGCAGTGAGAAAAGTAACTAAAATAGCATCTCGATTCATAAATGCCAACACTCAGAAGGAAACCAAGCTTGTCCTCCAGTAGAGGGATGGAGAAAGTGTGCTACATCCAGACAATGGAATATTGTTTGTGCTCAACAGTAATGAGCATCAACCCATGGAAAGCCATGGAGGGTCCTTCAAAGCATGCTCCCGAGTGAAAGACCATCTGAAAGGCTCCTGCTGGGACATTCTGGAAAAGGCAAAATGGTAGAAACAGTGGGCTTATCTATCAGTGGCTGCCAAGAGGAAGAGAGAGAGAGAGGGATGAACAGGCAGAACACAGAGGCTCATTCGGGCAATGAAATTATCCTGCATGGCATTATAGTGGGGGACACTTACCATTATACATTTGTGAACACCCACAGAATGTAAAACGCCAATATGGAAGCCAAGTGTAAACCATGATAATGACATGTCAGTGTCTGCTGCTATAGAAATGCGCCAATCTAGTGTGGGATGTTGACTGTGGAGGGGTAGGGGGCATATGGGAAACGCATGTGTCTTCCATTGGCTTCTGCTGTGAAACTAAATCTATCTAAAAAAAATCACAGATTAATTTTTTATTTCTCAGACTTGTATGTTTATTTCTGCATTGTGTGTGTGTGTGCGTGTGCGTATGCGTGTGTGTGCGTGAGTGTGTGTATGCTTATAAAAACCAGAGGCCAATGTCAGGTGTCCTCCTCTATCATTCTCTACCCTCGTATTTGAATCAGGCTCTCTCACTGAATATGGAGTTAGGCAATTTGGTAAGATGAGCAGGCAAGCAAGTTCTGGTGGGTCCTTCTATTTCTGCCTCCATAGTGCTAGGGTTACCATGCCTGGACTGTTGTTAAAATGTGAGTGCTGGGTATTTGAACTCGGGTCCTCAGGCCTGGGCAGCAAGCCCTTCACCTACTAAGCCACCCTTCCAGTCTTATTTCTTAAATAAGAAATTTAAATTTAAAAAAGTCATCCTTGAGACCGTGTCTCTCACTGAATCCGAGTTCACCATTTCAGCTAGACTGACTATCCAGAGGCCGCGGATCCCCGTCTCTATCCCACCATGCACTGGGGTTACGGGTGTGCACCACCATACCTGGCTTGTTACGTGGATGCTAGGGGTCCAAACTCGGCCCCAGGCGTGCACAGCGAAGGATTTAGCCACACTGAGCCCTCTCTCCAGCCCGTATTTGTGTAAGATTTAATTAAAGTCATTGTTTTGTCAAATGTCTTCTACCCTGGGTTTATTCCAGACTCACTGCCACTGGACACGGTATCTCTCACCTGCAATCTCAGCCCTTGGTAGGTTGAAGCAGCAAGAGCTTGCATTTGAGACCACCCTGAGCTACACAGCAAGTTCCAGGCCAACCTGGACAACGTGGCAAGACCTTGAAAGCACGGAATACACCCCCTCCTGTCTTGCATGCACTTGAGAGGTAGAACTAAGAGGATCAGAAACTCGAAGTCACCCTTGGCTACACACCAAGTTTGAGGCCAACCTGGGATATGTATATGTGAGATACAAAATGAACATTACGCTTTCCGCTCTGCGGGAGCTGTCCTGGGTCCTGGAGGCGCTGGGTCCCCAGCTCCATCTCCAGCCAGCTAATTCACTCTCCCGCTCACTCAGTACCAACCAAGCTGCCTTCTTCCAGCATAGGAGCTGCTGAGTGGCTCACCCGCTGGGCTCTTCCCGCCTTCCAGGCACGAGAACACCTTCCTGCTTACTCCTCATTTCACTCCTGAGCCTTCAAGCGTCAGATCTAAGGTTACCTCGCCCTAGCTAGTCTCTCCTGAAAGCAGCTGTCTGGTCACTCTGTTCTCTTCTTTATAATATGTTTAACTAATTTATTTATTGCGGGTTGGGGTTCATGCCACAGCTTATGTGTGGCGGTCAGAGGACAACCTGCACAAATTGGTACTCTTCTGCCATGTGGGTTCCAGGGAGTGAATTCAGGCCCGCAGACCCTCAGGCTTAGCAGCTAGTGCCTTTACCCACTGAGCCATCTCATCGGTCCCTTTAATTCCTTTATACGCAGCATTTAGCACAGTTGGAAGGTGAATGGGGCAAGCTGGGCTCAGTTGCAGGCGCACATGGGAGGGAACAGAAGGCAGTGGAAAATATAACAGTAGCTGCTAATGTTGCTTCAGGATTTGTGTTTCACTCACACAACAACCATACTGTGTGGACACGAGTGCTGTCC